CTGCACGGGATCCGGGGGTCCTGGGGGCCGGGACCCCATCCGCACCGGACTTGGGATCAGGAGGTGACCCTGATCCCCAGTGAGCCCGGGCACAGGGTTGGGACGTCCTGGGCCCCATCAGCCTCAGGTGTCAGGGTCAGGTCATCCGGGGCCCTGTCAACCCTTTGGACGCTGATGTTGGGGTTTCTCAGCCCGTGTCAAGTCCCCAGACATAGGGGTCATGGCCCCCTTAATTCCGCCAGCCCTTGAATCTGAGATCATGGTTCTTTTAACCTTGTCAGTTCCCTGAACATGAGTTTCAGGGTTCCCTCAGCCCTGATCAGCCCCCAGAGACAGAGCCCTCTCAGCTGTGGACACGCCCCTTCCGCCACCTACTTTTGTCACTCCCTTGGACACAGGGACTCCCAAATGTCCCTTCGATGTGCCCCGGTATCCACTGCACTGTGACATCCAGCCTGAGTCTGCACCAGGCCAGGCCTCCCACCCCACTGTACCCATGCTGCCCCCGCCCCCATCGTCCCCGCTGAGCTGTGTCCCTGGGCCAGTCACATCCCAGGTTGCAGTTAATCCTCTAGGAACCCCTCAGCCCATCCCAGAGCAGCCCCCCACCCCTGAGCTCCGCCCTTCCCTGCCCATAGAGCCCCTGGCAGCCAGACGCCCCGCTTTCTTCTCCCGGAAGCAGAGCTGCAGCTTGCAGCTCCCTTGAATGCTGGTCCCAGGTGACTCTGCCGCCTTGGCCCCTTCCCCCGGGCCCGCCCCACAGCCCGCACCGGAGGAGCCACTGGCTCCTGGGCCTGGAGCCTGGACTGGCTGCTCTCCACAGCCGCTGCCCAGAGGCCACCGCTCGGCCTTTTGTCTGCAGGACGGAGCCGCTGGGCGGGCGGGGGTTTCTGAGCAGGCCCTGGAGGTGTGCGGGGAGGGGCTGAGCGCACCGCCCGGCGCGGGCCGGCGGTGCCTGGCCGGGAGGGCCGAGGCCTCTGGACGGCCGCCGTCCCCTGCCGCCCGAGGTGGCCCTTTCTACCTGGAGGTCCGCACGGCTGCTCCGGCGGCAGTGCCTCAGCCCCCGGCCCTCAGGCAGGCCAGGGTGGCGGGGCTCTTGTAAGGGTCTTTCGGTTGGGAGGGCTGAGGCCGGCATACTTGGCGTTTGCGCTGCTCTCGTGGTCCCCCAGTCGCGAGTGTGGATCCTGGGCAGACTGTATGTCGCCTTAGGCTGTCGGTTCAGCAGTTCGGGAGCCCTGTCGTGGGCCAGACCTGTGAACAAGACCGCAGCCTGGCCGCGTTGCGTGCTGGCGGGAGGGGCTTCTGGGAGCGAGGCCGCTGCGTGAAGCGCCTGGAGCCCTGCGTGTCCGTGGTGCTTGTGCTGCGGCCGTTTCTGAAGAGGCTGTGCTCGGGAGGACACGGGGACAGGGTAGGGTGCAGTGCGAGTCAGGGTGGCCCCGGGTCTTCCTGCTGCGCCACCGCAGTCCCGTGACCCTCCACCCCTTGTCTGGCCCACACAGTGAGCCCTCTCCTGCCTCCCTCTTACTTGGCCTTCGAGTCCTTGTTCACATGCCCTTCCTGACCTCCAGGGCTGCAGCTGCCCCGGAGCGTGTGTCCCTCCTCAGGCTCTGCTGCCGAGCTCAGGGCCCTGCCCTTGTGTCCAGGGCTCACTGCGTCTCCCCTGACAGATGGCAGGCCCACGCAGGGCCCTGAGATGGGGACTGTCCGTCTCTCTCTCTGCTCTTAGGCAAAGAGGGTCACTGCTGAGTGCATGAGGGGCGGCCGGCCCAGCAAAGGCGGCTGCTAGCCACTGGCTTTAGGCTGCAAGGAGCTGTCGTTTTTTAGGAATGGAGGAATTCTGAGGTTCTCTTCCCGAAGTCTATATCGTGAGTGTGGTCGTTTGACCCAGGCCCTGGGACCTGAGCTAGTTGGAATCCTAGCTCCGCCATTCAGTAGCTCTGTGACCTTGAGCAGGAGGCATGACCTCTCTGGGCCTCAGTTTGCTCCTCTGTGCAGTGGGTTTGCATTAAGCACTCTCTGCCTGAGGGGCTGTCGTGAGGTCAGATGAGTGTCCAGGGCTCAGTGAGGGTGACAGTGGCCCATGAGCAGAGATCCTGTTACAGCCAGGTTGCCCAAGGAGTGCTCACAGTTCTGTCCACAGCGGGGACCTTGTGTTTCACACTCAGGGCTCAGCCTAGAGCAGCTCTTTCTGCCGAGCCAGTGAGCAAATCACTGGAAGCCCGACTTGACCCCTGGAGCTTCTCACGCTGTTCGTTTTTCATTTCAACACTGTTCACTTAACACGCATGAGCAAGCCGGGTTTCCGGGCATCTCCAGCTGGCCAGAAACAGGCTCTCAGGAGCACCCCTGGCCCCCGCCAGGCTGCTGCACCCTCCTCCATGCCACATTGGGGGTCCTCTTTCTCCCCGGGGCGAGGGGCTGCGTAACAAAGCCGCACGGGGCAGCTTTCAACAGCAGCTGGCTTTCCTACCTGAGGTCAGGGTGTGGGCAGGGCCCCGCTCCCTCCAGGGGCCCCAGAGGAGGGTCCTTCCTGCTTCTCCCAGCCCCTGGTGGCCCCAGGCGTCCCTTGGCTTGTGGCTGCATCACTCCCATTCCTGCCTCTGTGTTGACGTGGCCTCTCCTCTGTGGCTCTGTCTCCACCTTGTGTTTTCTCCTCCTTATGAGGCACCAGTCATGAGTCAGGGCCCACCTGAACTTGACCACACCTGCGAAGATCCTGTTTCCAAATATAGTCATAGTCACTGGTACCAGGAGTACCTGCAACATTCCTTTTTGGGGACGCAGCTCAACCCACAACAGCTCTCCTTAGTGTCCTGGGTGCTCACTGGGGGGCGGTGAGCCAGGGCTCTGCCATGCGGCCGGGATTGCTATGTCACTGGGAGCAGAAACCCCCGAGGTTCTGGAGGGTTCTAGCAGCACCAGTTCTGAGAAAGGGCCTGGGATTTGAGCTGCCATCTTGGCCAGGAGCCAAGTGTTCCAGAGGCTGCCAAGCACCTGTCCAATGAAACCAGTGTCGGTGCCACATCTGGCAATTTGTTGACAGCTCTGATTTGGGGGTTTCTTGCTCTCCAGTGGGAAAGCAGCTGGAGGTGATCACCAAGGTTGGAGCCTGAATGCGTGTTGCCGCATGGTGGCCCACAGGCCTTGCTGAGACCCAGGCTCGACCCCCCAGAGATCACACATTGGGTCTCGTCAACGGGGGAGACTGTGAGCCTCCCTGAGGGGTTGGCTGGAATTCGGGGGTTTTGCTTTGCCTGGCAGGGACATGGTGACATGGGGTAACCACTCATGCAAGAAGTGTGTGCTGAGGGCCTGGGAGGTGCCAGGAACCATGCTCAGATGGGGGTGGACCATGGGCTGGCCGGACAAGACCACTGCCTGCACTCTCCTGGCGTGGAGGGTTCAGAATCATTGGTGCTGGCACCTGTCGGCCGCTGGAGGTACAAGAGCGGCACTTCAGTGTCAGGAGGAGGGGCACCCATTTTCAGGTGGTCTGTTCCCACATACAGCAGCCCCATCCCTGGGCCCCTCATTCCATCTGGGTGGTCTCCAGACCTCAGACAGGAGCTGGGTGTTTCTTCAGTTACAAAATAAAGGAAGTTTATCAGACACTAGAGACAATGTCTAATAAAGACTGATTTCTCTTCCTATCTGAGAGCGCCCACATTCAGGATAGGAGCCCTGAGAGACAGTGCAGGAGCAGCCTTGATGCCAGCTCACCTGACAGGGTTCCAGGGTGGCGTGAGGCGGGCAGGTCCCAGCTCCGCCTCACCAGCGCTGTACCTCGGTTTCCCCACCTGTAAACTGAGAGTAATACTCCCCACCTTGTAGAGTTGTTGTGAGGATCGAGTTTACATATGAAACATTTATAAGGGAGGCGAGGTAGAAGGAAACGACGGACGGAGGTCTGTGAAACCAACGGGGAACAGCTTTTAAGCGTGGCGGCGAGGACAGCACCGTGCCTGCAGCAACCTGGAGGGAACGCGAGGAGCAAGGCGGGCCGGCGAGTGCCAGTGCTGCCTGTCCTGCAGGGCCAGCCTCCGAGGGCCCATGGCATCCGCCGGGCGCCTCTGGGAACTGCTGCTGGCCCGAGCTCTGCAGATGAGGTCCCAGAGGTGCAGGGGCCATCAGCCATTACCTGGGATATTACCTGAGGAAGTGAGCCTGAGAAAGCCCCGCGGGGCTGCTCCGTGAGGCCTCTGAGCCCAGCCCTGTGGGGCAGGACACAGACACCTCTTCAGGGATGGTCCCCACCTCCAGCTGGGCATCCTCTCAGGGCAGGGCCTGCCTTGTCACCCACCGTAGGGTCAGCGCTCATCCAGCCCCCACCTCGGGCCTCAGGATGCTGTCTTTGAGCGGGCAGCACACCTGCCTGCAGAGGCCCCTGGGGTCCCCTCCCCGCAGCCCTCCCCCCTGGTATCCTGGCCTGTCCTCAGGCCGCTGCTGGTCCCCTACCTGACTCATCCTGCATGCCTGCTGGTCTGTGTCCTGAGGCCCTGTGGTGTCACCTTTACAGAAGGCGGGTCGTCTCCCAGCGCTGCTCCCTCGAGTTCCTGGAAGATGCAGCGGTCTGTGCCTCGGTTCAAAGGTGAGGGTCCCACCCACTGCCCACTCAGAGCTCAAGGCCCTGGGAGCCAGAGAGGGTCCGGGAGGGACAAGTGACCCGTCTTTCACCTGCAGAACCAAGCACATATCCGGGTCCCCCAGACACAAGGGCCTGAAGAAGACGCACTTCATTAAGAACATGCGGCAGTATGACACCAAGAACAGCAGGTACTGGCTGCGGCCAACAGTGTGGGGCTGCCCACCATGTCCTCCCTCACACCTGGTGGGGTGGGGTCCTGCCCTGGGGCCACAGGGAGGGAGGCAGTCGGCCCCCCAGTTCATCCACATCCCTCTCCAAGTGGACCCTCCTCCGCATCACACTTGTCTCTCCTTGATTACCGAGCGCCGGGGTCCATGGTGGGCCCCCCACCCCAGCTCTCCCTGGATCCTGGGGACACAAGCCTGGAATGCAAGTGCTGAGTGAGGGGACACTGTCAACACAGAGCAGGCTCAGCAACAGAACGTGTCCAGGAAAGGGCTCGGTTTCAGGGAAGCCCAGGGAGGCTGGGCTCCAACCCAAATCTATCTGCCCCAAAGCAGGCTGCAGAGTGGCAGTGGGTGCCTGGGTGCCCTCAGAAGCTCGGTGTCTGCAGACATTGGATGGGGGTGTTCCTATCACCTGTCCCTCATTCCCTCCCCCACCGCCCAGCCAGCCCTGAGGCGTCTGAGCTTGTTACCCTGACCCAAAGGGTCTCCGCCCTGTTCCCCTTCCCACTGGAGGCCATGCTGCCAGGTATCCACCCTCCCCAGCAGGGGCCGTAGGTTGGACAGTCCTGATCCCCTAGCATGGCAGGCTGGGCCTGGTGCTGAGGAGCAGGGCCTGGGCAGTCGGAGCACTGGGCTGGCCTCAGTGGGCACTGAGTGCCTCGTCGTCCCAGTCAGAAAAGGGAAGCGTCTCCCACTGCTGTCCTCCTTGCTAGACTGGGGCCTGACCAGGCACAGTTGGTCCCGGAGGGGGAAAGGCTGTCCTTCCTGCCACGCGCCCCCGCTCCAGGGCACCTCATGGGTCAGTTTGGCTCAGGACATAGATGGGCCCCGCCCCTCCCGGATGGCTGAGGAGGGGCTCTCGGAACCAAAAAGCCCTCTGGGCATGTGCCTGCACCCTCTGTGGTCTCCAAAGCCTCCTGGGTGACCCCAGGTCCCCACTTCTGGCCAACTGTGCCCTGCTCTGTGGGGCCAGGCGAGAGAGACCCTTCCTGTGCACCAGTGTGTTCATTACATGGAGGGGACCAGCAAGAGCTGGAAGGCCAGACTGACTGACTCTTGCCACTGGGTCTCCTGGTCCGAGTCCTCTGGACGCCTGGGGGGTTCCAGTCACCTGGTCACCTGAGTCTCGGTGGGAAGGAATTCTCCCCTAGAAACACCGCCACCATTCTGACCCTGCCTCCCCACAGGATTGTGCTGATCTGCGCCAAGCGGTCCCTGTGTGCGGCTTTCTCCGTCCTGCCCTATGGGGAAGGCCTGCGGGTCAGGTGAGTGGCCTGGGAGGCAACAGGCGGCAGGTGTGGGCTGGGCTGCACCTGGGCTCTCAGCAGCCTCATACAGTGGTCAGCAAATCAGCTGCCACCAGATCCTCTCTGGAGTACTGAAGGCCGCTTCCTGGTTCTCCAGGAGGGGGCGTGTCCGCACCCTCACTTTTGTTTAAGCTGCCTGAAGGGTGATGCTGGGACGGTCCTCTTCATGGGGACACTGCCATGCATCCTTCCAGTCCAGGCAACTGTGTCCTGTGTGTAACCCGGGAAGGAGACAGCTGTTAGCGTGGGATGGCACCGTGTGACCTGGTGTAAAAAGTCAGTAGTGGGGAAGCCTCCCGCCCGTTGTGACCTCGGGGTGCAGGGGCACGCCTCTGGAAAGTGGACTAGAGGTAAAGCTGTAGCCAGGGCTGCGGTGTCACATCGCTGGCAATCGGCATTTTAACAGGAAGTGCCTGGGCCTAGAGAAGGGCAGTTCTTACAGCTGGAGTCCTTCGCGTGCCCCAGTAATGCTAGGGCCGCCGTTCTCCCAGCGAGAGCAGCTCTGTCGGGCGGGCATCGCAAGTGCAGAGGTGGGCGACCTGTGACCCGAGGCTCTGCTCCCCGCCCACTGGAGGGGCAGAAGGAGGGTCCAGCAGCTCTCTCATCCCATGCATTGCAGTGACCTGAGGGTGGACAGCCAGAAACAGAGGCATCCGTCCGGCGGCGTGTCCGTTTCTTCCGAGATGGTCTTTGAGTTGGAAGGCGTTGAGCTGGGAGCAGATGGAAAGGCAAGAGTTGATACGGTCCACACAGTCAGGGCCGGCGAGCGGGTGGGCACCGAGATCACGTTTATGGAGAAAATGAACATGAAGTTTTGTTTCACCTTAAACTTCTAAAACGCAAGGGGTGCATTGCAAGCCACACAGCCCTGTAGGAACGGCCCAGAGCCTTGTGCAGCAGCTGGGGAATGAGAAACAACCTGAGCTGCGAGGGGCACCCCCTGTGCCCTGCTGGTCAGAGGTCAGGGGCTTCAGAGGCAGGGAGGGTGCTCCGTGCTGTAGATAAGGGGTTGCAGGACGATGTTCTGGAATATTCTTACTGAGAATACTAACGTGGAGAGAGCAGCCTCCAGCTCTGGGCCACCAGGAAGGTTAGCCCTGTGGCCTGAGCTGCCGTGGCTCCTTGCTTGTCCGTGTGGGGCCTTCCTGCTGCAGGAAGTGGGAGAGCAGAGCTTGCTTTGACCTCTGGTCTTCGGATGGGCTGTGGGGCCCGGAACAAGCAGGACTGACCCTGACACACTTGCCTTTGCAGGTCGTATCTTATGCCAAGTTCCTGTACCCTACCAACGCCCTGGTCGCACACAAAACAGACGGCCACGGCCCGCCACCCCAGCCCCGGCCCAGCGTCCCCCGGGCTCTGCCGGCATCAAGATACAAACCTGCTGCCCCCAAGTCAGCACCAGCCGGCACGGAACTAGGTACCCTAACCGGCGCAAGGGCGCAGGGGCAGGTGGCCACGCCAGCCCTGCCAAGGACCCCAAGTGGCAGCAGTGAACCGCATTCAAGCCCACAGTCCTCAACAGAGCTAGGCTTGGGGCATGGATTTGGGGTGCGGCCTCTCGGGAGAGAGGGGACTCACAGAGTAGATGCCCAAGCCAGGCAGTGGAGAGAAGCCGTGCACAGGCCGCTCCCAGGTGGGGGTCGGGCAGGGTATCCGTCCCTGGCAGGTAACGCTTCCCTTCCACCATGGCCTCCCGGACCCCAGGAGCACCGCTACCTTGTCCTTCAATGCCCTCAGTCCCGCTGCCCCCAGGGCAATAGGCAGGTTCTGCCCAGGCTTGGGTTGGTAGAAGCCAGGAGCCAGCGCTCAGGGCTGCCTTGTGCTTGCAGGGAGCGAGGCAGGGGATGCCCTGGAGTACAACCCCAACCTTCTGGATGACCCACAGTGGCCCTGCGGCAAACACAAGCGGGTCCTCATCTTCGCATCCTACATGGTACGCAAGCGCCCCCACCCCAGGACACCAGCAGCTCTGTGTGGGCAGGGCCAGGCAGCAAGCCACCAAACAGTGCTGGCCACACCCCCCTGGGGTGGCCCTTGCCACCGCCTCACACCCTGGCTCTGGTGCCCTCTGTCCTGAAGTGTGTCGTTCTCAAAGGCATGGTGCATTTGCGCTTGCAGGCCAGGCGCTAGACCCCCGGGGCTGCATGGGGTTCTCACCTGCCCCCCTGTATTGCAGACCACAGTGATCGAGTATGTGAAGCCCTCTGACCTCAAGAAGGACATGAATGAGACCTTCCGGGAGAAGTTCCCGCATGTCAGGCTGACACTGAGCAAAATTAGGAGGTAGGGAGGGCTGAGCCGACGTCCCTGGGCCCCACCACCACCACGGGGACATCCCCAAAACCTCTTGTGATGTGTTTTATCCTGCGAGGGCCTGTCGGCCTCTCTTCCTGTGTCCCATACATTCCCGAGCTTGACAAATTCAGGTGGGCCCCTCCCCCCACCATCCGACCAGGCCAGTAACATGCGCGTGCCTCCACTGGCCAGGCCACTGAGCCCTCCTCACTGGTGCCCACGACAGCCCATGAGGCAGGCACTGCCATTATCCCCACTCCGAAGACGAACTCACGAGCCGAGACGGCTTGTACATCGCCCCACGACAAGTGGGGGAGCTGCTGGCCCAGGTGGGGCTTCAGTCCTTGCCCTTCGCTGGGGTTCTGCCTGCCTGCCGCGTCCCGTTGCACCCCCACCCCACAGCTCCATGGCTACTAGTCCAGGTGCCACCACAGCACCTGTGCACTCGTGGTGTCTAGCAGGGACTCTGTCCTCTGTGGTGTCCCCTTGAGGACTGTGGGCCACCTGGTATAGTTGGGAGGTGCCACAAGACCCAGCCAAGGAGTGAATGGAGCCCAAGGCCAGCCTGCTGCCTGCCCACCCAGATGTGGGCCTCGACCCTGGGCTGCACCCACCTGGAGGGAATAGCACTGTTCTAACCACCCAAAGGCACATCCCTGTAGCAGGCAAAGGGTGGCTGCCCCTGGGCCCCATGAGCACCTGTCCCCTGTGTAACCGCCAGCTTAAAACGGGAGATGCGGAGCCTCTCTGAGGAGTGCAGCCTGGAGCCCGTGACGGTGTCCATGGCCTACGTGTACTTCGAGAAGCTCGTCCTGCAGGGCAAGCTCAACAAGCAGAACCGCAAGCTGTGCGCAGGTGCGTGTGTGCTGCTTGCTGCCAAGATCAGCAGCGACCTCCGCAAGAACGAAGTGAAGCAGCTCATTGATGTGAGTGTGCGCGCCCCACCCTGCCCCGCCCAGGCCCACCTTGGCTGCACCTGTAAGCTCCCTATGCCCAGCCCCACCCTTGGGGTGGGTGGTCATTGCCCACTGGTTATCCTGGAGTGGGGCCTTACACCCACGCCCAGACCTGCTCACCTTCATGGGAACCAGAGCAGGAACCCCGCTTAACCCTTCTCTCTTTTTCAACACAGAAGTTAGAAGAAAGGTTTCGATTCAACAGACGGGATCTAATTGGGTTTGAGTTCACAGTGCTCGTGGCTTTGGAACTTGCTCTCTATCTCCCTGAGAACCAGGTGTTACCTCATTACAGACGCCTCACCCAGCAGTTCTAGCCAAGGCCAGCTGCCCAGACCACCCTGGCACTCCAAGCCCTTGCCACTTGCTCAGCGCACCCACGTTTGTGGGCCCAAGGGCTGTCCCACGCACTGTTTCCTTCATTCCAAAGCCCCACATCACACGGTATTTGAGTATTCCTGAGCTCGTACATGGACGGTGTGGGGTTGTTACTGTCTTCGTCCACATGCCCGAGACTGCTCTGGCACCACCACCCTCGATTCATGGCGCATCCCGCCTTCACTGCGTCTGTCTCCTTGGTGTTGCCTTGCCGTCCGCAAACCCTCTAGCCACTGCACTAGTGTTGCGGTGGCAGTCTGGGTTTCCAGTGCTCTGAACACACTGAAATTGCTGAAGTTAACGTACCGAAGCATGAATCGTGGCTATTTCAGGTTTCTGGATGTGGAAATAGTGCTATGGCACACAGCCCCACCCAGCCCTGCAAAGCTGGAGGGCTGGCCACACCCCTCCCTGCACCCACAAGCAGTTCTAGCGCCACATTATGCCAACAAGAGCACTCCTGGTTTGTTTTGCTATTTTTACTCTTGGATCTGTTCTTCCAAGCATCGTGTCACTGTGAAATCCTGAAGCCTGAGTGTCATGCACCCCATGTGGGCACTGTCCTTCCCCTCACCAGGAAAACCCCACTGGTCGTGACACTTGGGACTCTCAGCTCACTGCATTGCTGCCTCTTGACCTTCCTAAGCAATATTGTGACCGAGAAAAGCAGCAGATTTATTATTATCATTTGGGATGCTGCTGTGGGTTGTTTTTTAAGGGAACAAAAACTGGTTAAGTGACATGCGCTGAAGTCAACTTGAAACTACGCTGGATTCTCAAGCGGGGAGATGAGCACGTCACAGCCCCCACACCCCACAGCACCACCTCTGTAAGCGAGTCAACTTCAATGCCTTTATCTTCTGGGCAAGCAGCAGCAGGCTGATGCAGCCTGTCTCACTAAGCGGACCCCAACGGGTAGTGGTTGTCACTTCTGTGGATGTCTGTACCCAACATGTTCAGCTTTTTCCAGGTTTGTTCTTGCACAAATGTAGTCTTGTCCAGTTCTCCAGTTTGCTGCCCCCAAAATACCTAAGAACCAAGGACTGGTGAGTCAGCTGGTCTGAAAAATGGCTGTTGGCTGGGCCATTAAGCTGCTTCCCTACCGTGCTCTAACCTTGTCACTGGAGGGGCCCTGGGACAGCCCCCACCCTGTATTCTCTCCGTGTGGACTGGTGCTTTTGCAAAGAGAGCCAGTTCTCATCACAGCACCCAACCACCAGCAACTCAGCCTAGACACCAACGGAGGTGGGCAGCTGCCCACCCACTTGCTGCCTGCAGGCCTGCTGCCCCTTCCTCAGCCACCCAGTCCGGCTAAGGGCGCTGCAGGGCAGGATGGACGACGCCCAAGTCCACATCCCAACCTTATTTATTGAGGAGTGTCTCCCTCCTTCCCAAGATAGCCTCCTAAACCCGACGTGCACACAAGGCGGAATGGAGGCTGGAAGCTGCTGGGCCTCAGGCACCTTTCTTCTGGAAAGCAGCCTGTCCTGCCACCATAGCATCTCAAGGACACTTCCGTTTCAAGCACTGTATGGGACTGCCTTTCAAACAGTGTATGTCCTGGTTTACAACTTAGCCTCGAGGGACCCATCTCCTTGGGAATTTTACAGATATTCGAACAGCTGATAAATACAGTAATTTAAGTTTGCATATTTATGTAGTAAGATTTAGCTGTTTATCAATGTTGTCTGTGTCCTTTTTAGTAATGTGTCAAAGAGCTGCCCGTGTGTGGGACTCAACACTCACCACAGCAAAGCCAGCACTTAAGCCAAACTTCGGCCTGAACCGTCCGTCATCCTCTGAAACGAGCCCAGACATCTGAGGGGTGTCCAAGGGTCTGGTGCCACTCCCTCAGAACGCCCCCAGCCCCAGCAGCATTTGTGGGTTTTAAACGTGCATTAAGCAACTACCTGACCTCAGAGCCGAGATCTGTTTGTATTTGTGCTTTGAAGTAAAGTTTGTTTTTGCAGCATATTTTATCGGCTGCCTGGCCCCTCCTTGTCAACCGTTCATAGCCCAGCGTCAGCCCTGACCCTCCACTAGCACAGAAAGAACCAACACAGGTGGCTTCTCACTGTTTATTTATGACAAATAGTCCCCATCTGTGATCCTCTCCAGTCAGAAGTTCCTAAACAGAAGGAGGAACAGCATTAGCACCGCGTCTCCGGAGAAGCCCCGAGCCTGCACCCCCCGCGCGAGCCCTCTTACTTGGAGACGATGCCATCAGCCTTGGCCAGTCGGAGAATGGAGTCATCTGACTCGCCCTAGGAAGACGCACATTGGGACTCCGTGCCCTGCTCCCCAGGCTGGCAGGTCCCCGCCGGGAACGTGCCACCCAGCCACGCTGCCATCCCAGTGGCACCAACCCCGCCCCGGTGGTCCCGCTCCGGCCCTTCCACCGGCCCTCCCCGCCGCCCAGGGCGGTCCAGTCAGAGGCGCCGACCTACGCGGCCAGCGAACGGACTCGGCTGGAGAAAAGGGGGGACGACGCCCGCCCGCCCGCCTGCCCGCGGGCCCCTGCTGAGCCGGGCCGTACACTCACCATCCTGCGAATGGCCCCGCAGATGGCGTAGGTCTTAAACTGGCCGTTGAACCTGCCTGTCACCTTGTCAACCTGTCAAACGAAAAAGGGGCTCACAACACGCGCGCCCACGCGCCTGGAAACGCTACGCCTGGGGTT